GTATTCCACAAACATATCTCAGGAAAAAGCCCCAATATATATATTCAAACAGCGACTTGCAAGGGAAGAGAGGAAAACTGACTTTTTAGTATTTTTTAAAGACCTGGAATTAGATGGGGCATTATGACAGCTGTACAAGCTGTTGTGTTTGGCTGCCATAATCGGCTGGTGTAGATCGCAGCTTCTCTTGCTTAAGCGATGTCCTACACTTGGAACACAATGGACCATGAGAATTAAGGCAAACTTGCTCTACTGAGAGGAGCCTGATCAAATCAATGGAAACGATGGCCAGTTGGTACGACAGGGTCATAGAACATTTCCTGAAAAAGGAGAGAAAGGCTTATTTTGTTTATAAATAATGTGTTTTATGTGTTTTTTTTAGCAATAGTTGATGCAAATTGTTATGTCTGGATTTACTTTTTTTAACATAATTTTTTAAGGCTTAAACAGCGTTTATTTTGTTATCTATTTTTTTATATTTGGCAGAAAGAAAATGGTCAAAAGGTCAGGACTCAAACCTCTGAACATGGGTCATGCTAAACTTCTGCACCACTGCCGCACCCCACATCTGGATTTAACAGCCTCCCATATTTCAGAAACCAGCAGCCTCCTCATAAACCCATCACTAGTTACAGGTGATCACTACAATTTTAACTCTTACCAGCTCCAAAGTGCACCAACCTTTGCAAATAATAACCTAAAGGCCAGAAGGTATGCAGCAACCTGTGCCTGGCATCCGAGCCCCTTTGATTTTTTTAAGTCGGCAACAAACCTCAGAACTTGGCCCTCAATATGCTTTTATTTATTTATTTCTCAATTTTTTTGGCTTAAATGTAAGAAATGTAATGCCTTAACTTCGTCTCACATGACTTCAACCTACCGTTCCTATTGGTGCACAATCCTTTATGTAAAGCAGGCATCATAACCAGAAGTAAATATAGAAATATATTTTGAACCTCTTAACATCCACCTATTTTGCATACCCAAATGGAAAAGCAAATAACTGTAAGCCCAAATTACATGTGCAATACATTATTTGAAAGCTAACACCCTCTAGTTTCCTAATATATAAATTATTTTAAAAAAAAATTGGGTGACTAGAACACAGACCATCCTGCATCAGTTCAAACATGACTCAGCGTTATTTTTTTATTCTCGGAAATTATGGGTGTTTTTTGAACAGCAGTAATAAAGACATTCTTAAGAAAAAGCAGGTTTTATTTTATTATATTTATTCTACATCATGTCAACCACAAATGCAGAAAATTTCAGACCTCTAGCTATAACAGTTCCAGAGCTGTGGGGTTTAGAACTTTTGGTATCAGATTGGAGCTGCAGTGGCTCCACCTGCTGGTAAAAATTTTACCGGTGGAATTTTATGCATTCTAAATTATTACCCTCGCTTAAAGTCCACCTGGTCGCCGGCGACCCGGTGGATTTAAAGAGGTTAAAGGTTGAAACAAGAGTGGGTGAGAGCACCACCTGCTGGCCTGGAGGTGTTACGCTGATATATCAGACAGTTTGGGCCAAAAATGTTTGGCTGCATCAGTAACAAGCTGAGGGATGATTTTATTATAGAAATTAACAATAAAATAGCTTCAAGAAATAAAAAACGCAATATTTAGGTGGTATCACCTAAAAATTAGTGCATACCTGGCACACCATGATTGCTAGTTCATCAAAACATGCTTCATGTAAGCAGTACCTTACATTAATGCAATGCTTCTGTTTTCTTTTGTTTTAAATCTGGAGTTTTAACAGATCTTTTAGGAACATTTCAGTCCAGATCCAGTCTGCATATCTGTGCAGGTTTGAGCAGAAACCGTCCAGAAAGGCGTGAAGTTTATATCAAACCACTCCACGGTGTGTTCCAGTCCATCCACAGGTGTGAGTCAGTGAGTCAGTGGGAGTCTGAGCTGCAGCTTCAGCCACTGGTTCTACACCAATTTAGCCGTAATGGGCCGCTCTGATTTTTCATTTCATTCCTGCTGGTTTGATGGCGATGCTTAAAGCGCCGGCTGCTCTTTGAATCGTTGATGCATAATTATGCCATGGAATAATTAGCAACGACTAACCTTCAATTTGAGAACATTTACTCACTTAGGGAAAATCCCATGTTCACAAAAAAAAAAAAAAGAGCTTTTTAACCAAATCAAAGATGCCGACCCTAACAAACCATGTATAAAACATTTAACTGTTGATCAGAGGTTAAACCTCAATTATAAAAAATAAACTGATTTACCAAACCTTTCACCTGGGCGATGATAATAATAAATGCTAAATAAATAGGTAGAAAAGCCCTGAAAGTGGAAAAAGTGAAGTCCTGTCAGGAGGAAACTCACGGCGTTCATGTCGATGCCGTTGGTGTAGGACCAGGCGTGCTGGAAGTACTCCTCCAGCCGCTGCCGCAGAGGGTTGGGGATCTGGTGGAAGCGGATGAACTCCCTGACTCTCAGCATCTGGGTGTGGTAGCGGGCCGTCCCTGAGTAGAGCCGCTGGATGATGGCTGATACGTTCCCGAAGATGCTGGCGTACATCAGGGCTGGAGGCGTGGGGGAGAGAAAACAGACAGGAAATTAAAATACAACCTATGATCCTTCTCAAGAAAAAAAATAATAATAATTCCCATGAAATATTCAAAATCTTGACGAGAATGAGTTTCTATGCAGACGACATCCTGCTGTTTGATCTTTCCTCGATGAACCGTCAGTGTCTTTCCATCAGGTGGGATCTCACTGACCTCTTAACCTCTGTCAGCTCGCATCACTGGCTACATAACCGCTGCAGTTTCTACGGCAACGGCCTAAACGCACACACACAGAGAGACCAAAAAAAAAAAAAAAAAAACCTGCTCTGTGTGAAAACATTTTCTTTAAACAATATAATCAGATTGGAAAGTTTTACAACACTGTTTTTTACTGATAGGAATTTTAAAAATTCTGCAGTCAGTTTGTCTAAAAAACACAAAAGAAGCAAAAAAAATCCTTTTGGTTTAACGCTTTGGACAAAATTTGGTTCAGTTTATTTCATTTAAAATGCAGATGACAGCAGAAGCTAGCCAGCCATGCTTTTAACTCTTCTTCTTAAAGTGACAGGCAATCTAATTAATGCTTGGAAAGTTGCTATGATAAGATCCAGACAGGATATTAAAGCGTCTTCTGAGATTATTTCAAAGGTTTTAATCATTGCTTCATTGGCTGATAAATATGAAAAATGAGCTAATCCATTAAATTTCTTCAGTAATGAGGAAGTCATGAACTTAAAGACCAAACATCATTAATGTTAATCTGAAACATCACTCTATATTACTTTAGAACCAGAGAACATTGAATAAACTTCCCCTACATCAAAATCCAATGAATTTCACATGTAAAATTCCAAGTGAACATGATGAACATGGAGAAAAACATGAATATGTGTGTTTTTGGATGTTTTAACTGATTAGAACATATGATTCATATGTATTACACATGTGAAAACACAAATGTAATTCCCATGTGAATCACAATTTATATACATGTGAATGAAATGGTAAACAAATCAGTATCACATGTGATTCATGTTTTCACATGTGAATCGAATGTGAAACCCATGTACCAAATCTAAAATTAAAATGTTGCGCATATGCATTTACTTTTAAAAGCATATATAAATAGTGGATAAGGTAAATTTCATGTTACGAGTACAGGTGATATACGTGTGATTAATGTTTTCACATGTGATTCCCATATTTTCCAAAGGTGCTAAAAACATGCTTTGAATCAGAATCACATGTGAAAACATCTGTATCAATTCAATTCAATTCAATTTATTTCTATAGCGCCAAATTCACAACACATGTCATCTCAAGGCACTTTACAGTTCAACCAGATCATCCAGTCAGATTGATTCAAAGTTTTCTATCTAAGGAAAACCAGCTGATTGCATCGACTCATCGACTCCATGACAATCCCTCACACTAAGCATGCTTGTAGCGACAGTGGAGAGGAAAAACTCCCTTTTAATCACATCTGGTTCACATTCTCACATGAGAAAAACATGTGAAAATTCTATGTCAAATCTATGTGTCACGTGTAATTAACACGTACACATGGAAAAGCAGATGTATACGGGTGCATTTGAAATGTTTCACATTATAAGCGCATGTGATTCACATGCGCACCACCTTTTTTTAGAGATGGTACACATGTGCCTCAAATGTGAAACGGTGTCTCCGTTATTTTCTAATCAACTTTTCACATATATTAATACTGTATAATAAAAGTACATGGAAAGATGTTTAAAAATGAACATTATATAATAATAAAAAAAAACAAACACAAATACACAAGTACGATCTATGGAAAATAAAACCTGACATGCTGTGCACATTTTAGAAACATCTGAAGTTCCACATTTAATTATGAATTGAACATGAAATACATGAACAACATTTTTGATCATGTGTGGAAAATGCGACCCACATGTGAAAGATGGGAATTATGTGAAACTTGTGGGATTTTTTTCAAATGATATTTTTATGTTTAAAGCTTTAATTTTTACATTTTTTCTGGTATTGTTTAATTAAAGTAATTATGTAAAAATCATAATCAAAAAGATTAGAACTTACTATTTTTTAAGCAAGTAGAATTTATATTTGGATCAAAACTTTATTAATTTGATACATTTATCAAATGCTGGGAGCGTTTCTGCTCTTCATCCAGACTCTGAGGAAGGGGGGGGGCTAACTACAGTGCAGCTGGTCCCGTTCACTTTGTTTTGAACCTTTTTTCTGCTGAGGAACATGCTGGGTAAGTTGAATTTTGGGAGTGATTTGGAAGTCAAACTTTCCAGGAGAACATGCTGCTGTTAGTGATTAGAAATGCACGATGCTAAAAGGCAGTTCAGATATGAACCTAACTCAAAGTAAACATTTAAAAGTGTTACAGTTCTTACTGCAGACGTATTTTTGGACTTTTATTAGCAAGATCTGTGCTTTTCAGGATTTATTTAAAATATGAGCCAAGACATTGGTTTGTTCTGTTATATTTGGAGCCCCCTTTACCCCGGGGCCCCAAAATAATACAGCAAAACCCTGTTTTTATCAAAAAGGATTTGGATGAGATTAAATGAATTCTGCTGTTTAGCTGAAGGACAAAGCTGATACTTACATCCAATGAGCATAACGCAGATGGAGAAGATCTTCTCTGAGTTGGTGTTTGGAGACACGTTTCCAAAGCCCACACTGGTCAGACTGCTGAAGGTGAAGTACAGAGCGGTGACATACTTGTCTTTGATGGAAGGTCCTGAACCTGATGAGAGGAAACCAGCAACAAGAACAGATTTGGCATGAAGCAGCATAATCTGATATTCAACAAACGCACTTCTACCATCAGTTATATCAATTAACAGCATCTATTTGTCCAATTAATATTAGCCAGGACCTGGAAGTGATGCATGATAGAAGCTCTGGCTGTAGTTTTAAGATTATTAACAGTGAACTTTCCTTACTTTAACAAAATAACCAATCGCATTCTACTAATACTTTAAGTATTTGTAAAAATATTTTTACAGTCAAACATTAGAAGGTTAATGTAATTAAGCCAGCAATTAAAGAATCGAATAATGTAATAAAGATGGAGGCATTGGAAGTTTTTCTCCAGTTGAATGTCAAAGAACAAAAACCTTTGATAGTGAATCTATGCTGTATTTACCTTCGGTTTCAACGAACTTAATTGTTCATTTCGTTCATCTACCTACTAATCATCGCTCATCTTATCCACCTGCGTCTGTTGCTTTATATTCGGCTCAGCCCAGCTATCAGGGCCAGATCATTGACTGTATTAAGTTTGTGTGTGAGTTTGTTTGGGTGAGTTTGGTTATTCCAGAGTTCATTATTCCTATTCTTGGAGGCCAATAGTTGAGAGGGTTCTAGTTTTTGTCTTGTTGCCTCCTGATCATGTCCTGGCTCTTTCCCGCTGAGCGCTCTCTGTTCCTGTTATGGCTCAGCGGGGTGGAAGCTAGGTTATAGTCCTGTAATCCTGGCTTCTTGGTGGAGTACAGTTTAAAGGCACACTATGCAACATTTTTCAGTTAATTAATGTGTTCCATAACGTTTT